GGGTTGGCTTGTCTGCCTCATCTGCAAGGCAGGACAAGCTCTGGCTGTCTCAGCACCATTTTGGGATTGGGACAGTCTGACTCTCCCATGAGGCAGGCTGAAACTCCGTCTCCGTCTAGAGGATTGGGTTAGCGCTGTCTTGGATTGGATTGTCTGTCTCATCTGCAAGGCAGGACAAGCTCTGGCTCTGTCCTGGGTTTTGGTCAGTGGCATCTTGGGATTGGGATAGTCTGACTCTCCCGTGAGGCAGGCTGAAATGCTGGCTCCGACATGGGTTGGCTTGTCTACCTCATCTGCAAGGCAAGACAAACTTTGGCTCTGTCCTGGGTTTCGGTCAGTGCCATCTTGGGATTGGGACAGTCTGACTCTCCCGTGAGGCAGGCTGAAACTCTGTCTCCATCTTGGGGGTTGGGTTAGCGTCGTCTTGGGTTGGCTTGTCTGCCTCATCTGCAAGGCAGGACAAGCTCTGGCTGTCTCAGCACCATTTTGGGATTGGGACAGTCTGACTCTCTCATGAGGCAGGCTGAAACTCCGTCTCCGACTTGGGGGTTCGGTTAGCACCGTCTTGGGTTGGCATGTCTGCCTCATCTGCAAGGCAGGACAAGCTGTGGCTCTCCCAGCACCATCTTGGGATTGGGACAGTGATTCCCCCGTGAGGCAGGCTGAAACTCCGTCTCCGACTTGGGGGTTCGGTTAGCACCGTCTTGGGTTGGCTTGTCTGCCTCATCTGCAAGGCAGGACAAACTCTGGCTCTGTTCTAGGTTTCAGTCAGTGCCATCTTGGTATTGGGGTTGGGATTTGGGACAGTCTGCCTCTCCCATGAGGCAGGCTGAAACGCTGGCTCCGGCTTGGGGTTGGGTTAGCGCCGTCTTGGGTTGGCTTGGCTTGTCTGCCTCATCTGCATGGCAGGACAAGCTGTGGCTCTCTCAGCACCCTTTTGGGATTGGGACAGTCTGACTCTCCCATGAGGCAGGCTGAAACTCCGTCTATGTCTTGGGGGTTGGCTTAGCACCGTCTTGGGTTGGCTTGTCTGCCTAATCTGCAAGGCAGGACAAACTCTGGCTCTGTCCTCAGTTTCAGTCAGTGCCATCTTGGGATTGGGATAGTCTGACTCTCCCGTGAGGCAGGCTGAAACACTGGCTCTGTCTTGAGTTGGCTTGTCTGCCTCATCTGCAAGGCAGGACAAGCTCTGGCTCTCTCAGCACCATCTTGGGATTGGGACAGTCTGACTCTCCCGTGAGGCAGGCTGAAACTCCGTTTCCGACTTGGGGGTTGACTTAGCACCGTCTTGGGTTGGCTTGTCTGCCTCATCTGCAAGGCAGGACAAACTCTGGCTCTGTTCTAGGTTTCAGTCAGTGCCATCTTGGTATTGGGGTTGGGATTTGGGACAGTCTGACTCTCCCGTGAGGCGGGCTGAAACGCTGGCTCTGACTTGGGATTGACTTAGCACCGTCTTGGGTTGGCTTGTCTGCCACATCTGCAAGGCAGGACAAGCTCTGGCTCTCTCAGCACCATTTTGGGATTGGGACAGTCTGACTCTCCCATGAGGCAGGCTGAAACGCTGGCTCCGTCGTGGGGGTTGGGTTTGCGCCATCTTGGGTTGGCTTGGCTTGGCTTGTCTGCCTCATCTGCATGGCGGACAAGCTCTGGCTCTCTCAGCACCCTTTTGGGATTGGGACAGTCTGACTCCCCCATGAGGCAGGCTGAAACTCCGTCTCTGTCTTGGGGGTTGGCTTA